CCCCAGCCTTCCACAGGGCTCTAACAAAACCCCGATGGAACAAACACCGTGTCTGGGAGAATAAATTAATCCCTCTTTAAACAGCCTGACTCAGGGGCCGGGTGACGACGGAGCTTGTTTTCTTTTAAAATAGGACGCGAGCGGGCCGGATTTCTGTAAAAACTGGCGAAATGCTAACGGTAATGGGGAGGAATAGGGACGGTAGAGCGTGCAACCCCTCCCTTTGCCAACTGAGTCACAATTTTCCCCCCTTCTGTCTGCGAAAGACTGACTTAAAAACACCGCTGTTTATGTAATTCCGAAGAATATCCAGTGTACCAAAAAAAAAGAAAAAAAAAAATCCTCCCCTGGCTTTTGTGAGTCGAGCCGTTTCACGCCAGCTTGTTTTCTGATCTTCTCCTCGTTTTGAGCTTGAGAACGTAAAATGTGCAATTGCAGCAGCAGCAAAAAAAATAAAAAAATAAAAAAATGCAGCCCCGCACATCACCTTTCTCAAGGTAAAATAATCCTCTTGGCACGTTCCTGGCGGCGGTCACTCGCTTACTGTCCTCCTCGGAATTAAACCCAAACCCAACCCGTGACACGAGTTTGAAAACCTGAGTTGAATGAATAAATCTGCCAAGAGCGAGCACCATTTCTTTAGAAAGAAAAAATTATTCCCTTGCAAGGGATGAGTCACTCGCCCGGGTGCTCTGCCTCCAAAAACACGCCGGGAATGTTCCGAGGAGCCGGTACCGGGAGCTGGGCACTGGGTTTTCCGCCTTTTCGTAATGAACGCGGGTGATGCCATGGAGTTTGGCTGAGGTCTTGTGAATTTTTTCTCACTCTAGTGGGCAGTTGTGATTCGCATGTAGGAAACTTCACGCTAAGAAGTTAATCTCCTTAGTTTAGGGCCATCTCCCTCCGCGTTGGGTCTGTTTTGTCGTCTTTCTGCCTCCCAGGCTCTCTGATGAGGGGTTTTTGAGAGGAAATTGTTCACAGGCTGGCAACAGGGTATTGCAGCAACCTCCATAAGAAATGCCAAGTAAGACTTTCAAGTACATGTCCAGCTTCTTGCTGCTTGTCTTGATGTTTTTTTTTTTTGAAGGGCGCTGGATTTTGAATCAGCGATGTCACACTTTGACTTAGGAGTAGGCTTTGCTGCTTTTAATTAAGGAGTCAGCAGTTCACTCTCCTAACGTGCTCAGCTATGTGCGACTTGGAAGCATCTTCGTACAACTGTGACGTGGAAATCTTCCTCTGGTTTTTTTTTTTCTGGTTTTCTTTTTTTGCCCCAAATAATAAAGCTCTAAGGCCTCATAATAAATGTTGAATATTGCTTCTTGAGTCATTTTGTTAAAACCAATTATTTAGGGTGTGAGCACCTTCATGTACCCAGCAGAAAGCATTGTTAAGATAGTCCTGATGTGACTTTAGTTTTTCTTCTTTCCATTCTCACCAGACAGCATGTCAGCCAAGATCCACCTTATTAGTTAACTAGTTACAAAAAGTGGATTTAAAAGCCCCTCCTGCCCCCCCTTCGCCAATATCAGTTAAATAATAAATGCAAGTGATGAATATCCGCACTTGTGCTTTGTGGGGGAAGTTTTATCTAGTGTGTGTTTCAGCTGTGACGGGATTTCTAAGGGACAGTTGAATATGCGGTGTGTGAAGTTGTAATTTTTAGCAAAATGTTTTAGAGAAGGTTCCAGTGTCCTTATTTTAGTCTTGCTAGCAATGGGATGTGTGACTGTGCGTTGCTCTTTCCAAATAAATTTGTTTGATTGCGTTTAGGTAGCATTTTAGTGAACTGTATCTTTTAAAGAAACTGTAGTGAGTCTGAATAAGCAGTTCTTGTTTGGATCTGATTAGTCCCTGAAATGTGTATTTTGAAAACCACTTTTAGTATCTGCTGGGAAAGTGAAAGTTGTATCTGTTAATGTGAGGAGGAATCATCCATCAAACCGAGTGCTCAAGATATGACTCATGCTAATTTGTTGCTCTCACATTAAGGCTGAAGCGCAAAAATATTTTAGCCTCTGGCATTGGAAGTTCACGATGCCACATCCTACCGCTCCACATCACGAATTACAGGTTTTCTTGTTTACTGCCCCCCAGGAAAGAAAAAAATCAGCGATAGAATGAGGATATCGGGCACAAGAGCCTGTCCCAGGCGATCAGAATGTCGCAGAAGTGTTGGCTTGACACTAATGCTAGGTCAAGGAAAACTGTGGTCTGTGCCTGAATAAAAGTGACTCGCGAGAGACGTGCAGCAGGTGCTGTCTTGCCTTCTGGAGCAGCAAGTTAAAAAAATACTGCCTGATCCTTTTTTAAAAGGCTTTAACGCAGCCGGCCCTTGGAAACTGAGGAATACCGCTTGTTGCAGAGAGGGGCTGTTAGGAGGATGGCCTGCTAATAACGCTGGCTATCTGGGAAGCGAGATAAGCAGACTTACATAAGCAGCAGCTTGGTAGCCTGTAGCTCTATGAATATACATTGTTTTAGGTCCACCATCTCTCGGTTCTGTAGGACTAAATGCATCGTTACCTTGAAGTGCTGGTGATGCTTTAAGGCTTAAAAATATCCATAAACTGCATAAGTTTGAACCTTGTCCAAAGGATTTGGGCTCTCTATTATCCGATCTGCTAGCTCTGCCTTTGAAACTGTATCTCTGGAGCTATCCTTAGGTGCTCTTAAGTGTCTTCTGATACAGTTTAACAACATTGTTTAATGCTTATTTAGAGCTGGCTGTAAAACATTTCAGAATTTTTTAAGATTAAAATTGTATTTAAGTACACAACTTGCTTAATATTGTACCTTTGACGTGTGTTGTACATACTCTCTGCTTTTTATGCAATGTAGATGTCTTGATGGCTTTTTAAAAACACGGGCAATAAATGGTTGAAAATCCACAATTGTCACTGAAGTCAGGCAAAAGTTTAATGGAGACATTGGAGGTTGTGCCATGCCCTGATTTAGCAGCACAGCCTCCAGGAGAGTTCAGCTTCCGACTCTTCAGCCATCGCTTCTGCAAGCCGGCTCCTTGGGCTGTTAGCAGTGGCTGCTGTGGCCAGGCGTGGTGTGGTCAGGCTCCACTTACCTGTTGCTTCCCAAGCTTCGGCGCTGATGGGATGTAAAATGCAGATAAAAACAGGCAGGCAGGCCTGGCTCCTAACAGTTCCTGCAAGTTTTGTCTCCTATTATCATACCAAATCTGGGCTGTTGGATTCGGAAAATCTGTGAACCGTTTTCCTGTCAGATAGGCTTGGAGTGTTAAGAAGCACGTATTCGTACCCACGTGGGTTAGTGTTTGTATCCACTGGTGGCTTTTATCCAAAGATCACCGGCATTGCGCTCCTGGAAAATGCGTGGCTCAAGTGAAAAGTAAAGTAAAAGCAGGACAGTGATGCAGCACTCGTGCGGTGCCAGGAGCCTGCCTGCGGCCGAGGAAGGGTTGCGCTGAGGTGGCTGAAGTTGCTGCTGCGATCGGGAGAGGCAAAGTGGCTGGAGCATGGATGAAACTAAGGAAAAGTCTCCAAGTGAGCTTCTAGAAGTACTGACTTTTCCAAAGGATGTGATGAAATGGATTCACGTAGGAAGAGTGTTAGCCCGAGTGCGTTTCGTAAAGCAGTCCATCCTCACCCAGTGTAGAAGTAGGCAAGTTGGGGGGTTGTGTGCCAGCACAGCGTTTTATTCGGCTCTCGCAGCCTCGAGTCATAAAGCGAAGTACGTGTTATTTTGTGAAGGAAACTGTAAGGAAGAAGTCCTGGAAGCCTGCAGTACTGGTCTATTGGGAATGCAAGTTTCCTCAAACTCAGCTTCAGACCTGGCATGCCACGTTAATGAGACTGATTTAAAACTGGTCTGATGAGACGGAGGCGCATCTTGAATACAGATGTGCTTAAACTGGCTTAAGGTGCTAGAGTGATTTGTTTTAATGCTCCATTAGGCTGAATTGGTCTGTGTGGTTTCTAAACCACTTTAAAATTGTGCCTGCTAGGGTTTTGTCCCAGTCTGACTGGGTGAGTTTTAATAACAGCGATTTCTGCCTTAGAATAGACAGCGCCTAGTGCAAGCACGGTGGAGAACGGCCCGTAGCAGCGTGGGCTGTGGCTCAGCTGAGTGGTGCTTGCTGTGGCTCGCTTATGGGGGGGGATCTATTCCCTTTAGCTTCTCCCACTGACTCTGTAGTTCAGAATATTGGTATTGGATTTTTGAAGCAGCTTTCAGGTCTTTTTTTTAGTTCCCCTACCCCCAGCTGTGTTCTCCAGTGTCTCTGGATGTCTACCAGTGCTTATCGATTAGCTTCTCTTCCTATTGCAAAGTAGCTGTTGAGGAAGAGAAAAAGAACATGTTGCTATTCTTATTAGTTTCCAGAAGCAAAGAGCACAGTGGCCAGTGTGTAAGTGCGGCGGGAACCTGCTAAATATAGAAATGTGGCTTTAGACAGCTTTTAATTCAAGTTGCTTTGGTTTCGGTGCTAGTGCGCATTGTTTAAATAAGACGCCTTATCGCATCCTGGCTCTCTGTGGCTGCAGTTCAATTCTCAATGTGCACTAAGCTTGGCTTAGAGGTGGGGCGTGATTTTGCAACTCCCATCAGTAGGTTCATACACGCCAAAGATCGTCCCAAGGTGGCATCTGATATGATCGTTAGCAAAACAAGTTATCTGTTATGTAAAGATCAAACGCTGTGTTAATAAGAGATCTGACAAGCACCTAGTTGTTTTCCATAAGAAGTGTTGCCCTCTGGAAACTTAATAATTGATTGTTGTGATGTGTGCCTTCCTGCACTTACCACTGAATCTGCACAGCGAATAATACGTTTAAAGCTTGAGTGATATATCCTGTCCAAAACCAAAATTGTAACTTTTTCCACTTGTTACTTCAATGGCTTTTGGTCTAGAATGTGTTTTCCTATAGTTTGTAAATGTTCTCACCGTGTCAGAGTGAGCACCCATCAATAGAATTTAAGTGTGAATGTTTGGTTTTAGGCACACGAAGCCTCACATCACCAACAGCAGGCAGCACAGAACAGTTTGTTGCCTCTCTTGAGTTCTGCTGTTGAGCCACCCGATCAGAAGCCGATTCTGCCCTTACCAATAACGCAGAAACCTCAGCCTGCACCAGAAACATTAAAGGATGCTATTGTTGGGATTAAAAAGGAAAAACCTAAAACCTCCTTTGTGTGCACTTACTGCAGCAAAGCTTTCAGGGACAGCTACCATTTGAGGCGTCACGAGTCCTGCCACACAGGGATAAAGTTAGTGTCACGGCCAAAGAAAACTCCCACCACAATGGTGCCCCTTATCTCGACCATCGCTGGTGACAACAGCCGAAGTTCCTTGGTTTCGACTATCGCAGGCATCCTGTCCACAGTCACTACGTCTTCCTCTGCCACCAACCCCAGCAGTAGTGCCGGCGCGACAGCTATGGCAGTAACTCAGACGGTGAAGAAGCCCAGCAAGCCCGTTAAGAAGAACCACGCTTGTGAGATGTGCGGAAAGGCCTTCAGGGATGTCTACCACCTCAACCGGCACAAGCTGTCCCACTCAGATGAAAAGCCCTTTGAATGTCCAATTTGCAATCAGCGCTTCAAGAGAAAGGATCGCATGACCTACCACGTGAGGTCTCATGAAGGTGGCATCACGAAACCATACACCTGTGGTGTTTGTGGAAAAGGCTTCTCGAGGTACCATGTAGAAAATCCCAGGCGAGCTCAAGTATTGGCTTTTCATAACCAAGAAGGGTTAAGCTATCGTAGCGAGGGGCTAGGAGAACCAGACATCTTAGAAGATTGGTGAGGGGATAAAGAGCCTTGTTTACCTCTAGGGTGTGGGTCCGATCTGAGCCAGCTTGGCAGTGGCCAGATGTGTTTAGCAATGATTTTGTGACCTCATCCAGGTCCTGTAGGATGTGTCTGTGTCACTGGTGGTGACCACGGCACCCCTTTACCAGCCGAACGGGGCACGGCAGACACCCTGCTTCCTTGTCTCATAGCAAGGTTGAGGCGTACTGACAGAGCATTGCGGGGGAGCTTGCATTGCTGCTGGCTGTGTTCAGATCTGTGCTTGTAACAGAGAAAACGTCAACCCTTTATAGTGTTGATCTGTCACCTTTACACCGGGTATGACCAAACGTGCCATTTTCAGGTGTGTAAGAAGAACACGGTTAAGTTTTAAACGTGCAGGTTGGGTCTCAGCGTAACTATGTGTTACTCCAGCTGAAAGCCACCGCGTAGGTACTGGGAATGTATTTATTCTTGCCGTGCAGAGGGATGTGGGTTGCAAGGGGTCATCAGAGCAGTGTTCAGCACCGCTAGCTAAGGTGTCATTACTATGTATTTGTAACAGTATGCATTTTCTTTTCTGTTCCTCTCTTTTTTTTGCAGGCCTGATCATTTAAGCTGTCACGTCAAACATGTTCATTCAACAGAGAGACCCTTCAAATGCCAAGTAAGGGCTAAAATGATTTATTAAGAACAATACCTCATTGTAATGTTAGAATCTGAGGCGAATAATCTTTCCAAAACTGTATTTGCTCCTGGTTTTTTGCTTCAGTAAGCGAGTTTAGAAATAAAGTTACAACAGCCTTACATACCAGCAGCACTGTAGTTCTGCTGTTAGTGTAGAGGCAGTTTAAAAGGATGCTGTGGCTACTTTTTTTTTGAAGATTAGAGGCTTTTTGCTTTCTTGGAGAGCAACGTAGGTGTGCTGTTTTACGGTACGCTTAACTTGGTATTGGTAGTAGGATTGGAACAGCATCCTCAGCTCAGTGCTGATTACTGGAGCAATGTGTGCAATGCGTTTCTCAGCATATTTAAATGTGTTTCTCAGTATATAAATTTAAAATGGATTGGAATAGGTGATTCTGGATCCGTTATTTTGCTGGGAGGTGAAAGCAAGTTGTCATAAGTTTGTGACTGAGTGTAAAAGAAATAACTTGACTGCTGTTGAACAATTAACTGTTTTGCTTGGAATATCCATGCTTGTTCCAGCTTGTGCTTTAATGACTCATCATCTTAAATAAAAGTCTTGTGTAAAAAGAATAGTGTTAGAAAAAGGTTTTGTTTCCTTGTTCCGATTTGGTTGGGAACAGAAGTAATTGAGCAATTTAAGATATCAAGTTCGTATTTGTACAGTAAAATTGTATCGAAAAGCAACTTTGCCTGTTCTGGGCTTTGTTTTGTAAGCTACTTCTTGTTTTGGTAGGTGAGTAAACTCTCTATTTTAAAGTTCAAGTAGTATAGTGTATGATTTTTGTCCTAACTGTCTCAGAAGCCAGCTTCCATTTTCAGTCTCTGTTTAGGAGTTTGATTTTGGTTTCTTTCTAAATACAGGTAAAACTTAAGATTGTCAGTATCCTTAGGATACTGTTTGCCCCTACAAGGTGAAGTAAACTTACAGTAGGCATGTAATTCGTACTGTAATGATGCTGTCTGCACTTCAAGTGTAACTGTTGTCCTTCGTATAGACGTGCACTGCTGCCTTTGCCACCAAAGACAGACTGCGGACACACATGGTGCGCCATGAAGGAAAGGTATCGTGTAATATCTGTGGTAAACTTCTGAGTGCAGCATATATCACCAGCCACTTAAAGACACACGGGCAGAGCCAAAGTATCAACTGTAATACCTGTAAACAAGGCATCAATAAAAGTAGGTGAACGTTTTAAAAACATTTCTAATAACAATGTGTTTGCAAAGGGAATTGCCTTTGATTACGTAAAAATGCAAAAACATACCCATCAGTCTGGGTATTCACACCTCTTAAAAATAGATTTGATAACAGGATCTTCTTCAGCTGAAGAAATTGGCACACGTGGAATTAGTTTGCTGCTAGACTGCGCTCTTATCCCGTAGGAATTCCCTGCAGTTTGTGAGAATAACGCATCTCTTCAAGAAAAGAGTTCCCAAGTTTCCTCAGCTTCTAAGTACAGTGCTACTTCCTGAGCTGTACAGGCCTGAAAGTCCAGCAGATAGTTCTGGAGATTTTAGGATATTTAGGAACTGCTAAGATGTGCCAGATTTCAGGTTTGAAGCCTCATCAAAAGCTCATCCAAGTTAGGAGAAAGATTTCTCTGCTTTCTCTGAGCTTTGACCCTGGGGCTCAATGATTCCTCCCTCTGGCAGCAGTGGACGAGAAAAGCATTTAAATCCAGCCCTGATAGGTTTTGGGCATTAATGGCACTTGACTAGTGGTGTGCAGAAGTTCCCATGAGATTTTTGTAATAGTTCCTTCTAGTCTTAAACTCTGTGGAAGTGCTGAAGCCTGAACCTGGGAGTGCCTAGTAAGCAAACGACTTTCAATTCTTTCCTGTTAAAATACCTGTAACTTAACTTAACCCACATGGTTAGTGACAGAAGATGGGTTTTCAGGGGAATTAAGAGGGAGAAGTAAGAAAGGCCTTTGGAAACTTTGTCCTTAAAACTCTTTGAGCAGGATATATTTGCAACATCTTTTCAGTTCCTGTTACTCCTGGATAATTTGAAAGTACTGGGAATGTCTGAAAAGCCTGATTGTTGAGCTTAATATAAAATTGAGATGTGAAGTGTTTTTCAGGGTATAGAGTTACAGCTCCGGCTTCCCAAGCCAGTTCAGTGGTGCTAAGCTAGTTCATGTGAGGCGTTTACAGCAGTTGTTGGAGGTGCAAATGATGAGCTGTAGTATGGCCAGAGTAGTAACATGTTGCTCTGTAATGTAAACTGAAAATTTTAAGCATGCTTGCAAGAAAAAGTAAAAAAGGCTTTTTTTAAAAAAAAAACAACCAACAACCAACCAACCAACAACCCTACAAACTGGAGCTGAGGTTTAGAAAAAGTGGAACCATCTAACCGGCTTGAATTGTAGAGACTTGTTGTAGTCTTTTACTTCATTCTTCCTAAAACACAAACCAAGTAATTGGAAAGGAAGTTCATTTTTGGCAGTGAAAGCAGATGTTCCCGAGTTATATTTTGGTTTTTAAATTTTGGAAAAGTAGTTTTATAAAGTGCAGAATTAATGATATGTTTTTAAACACCTCTGTGATTTTTACTCTTGGAATCCTGTGAGATTCCACACACTCTTTACGGAAGAAGCCTTTGTCATCTCAGCAGAAAACAGAGTAACTTTTCAAGGTGAATTTGTGTTCTTACTTAATTGGCATAGCATGCATGAGTGAAGAGACCAGCAATCAGAAGCAGCAACAGCAGCAGCAACAGCAGCAGCAGCAACAACAACAGCAGCAGCAACAACAGCAACAACAGCAGCAGCAACAGCAGCAGCAGCAACATGTAACAAGTTGGCCTGGAAAGCAGGTAGAGACCCTGAGATTATGGGAAGAGGCCGTCAAAGCAAGGAAGAAAGGTAAAACAAACCAATATGTACGATCTTTTATAAGATACGGGAGTTTACAGTTATATAGGGAGCTTAAGATGTCAGAAAAGGATGTCTCACATGGAAATGTAATTCTTGATGTTAGAAGTAATAGCTAAGAACTAGCAGGAGGAGAACATGACCAAAATTCTGCTGTTGTAAACGAACTCCTTATTACTTACTTCCCTTTGGTCTCTGTGCTTGAATGTGTACTAGCAGTCATCAGTTACAAAGGGATGTTTGTGTCTGCTTCAAGGCAAGAGTGTGTTTTCTTGTTCTTGCATGTGGTTTTTAGCTGTGTTTATGCATATTTACCAGTTGTTAACTTGTGTGCATATATATACACATATATGTATATATACACACACAACACCCTCTATCACCCTCTATCGTTGCATCATCAGTCTGCATGTGGGTGCTTTCTGTGTCTCTTTCATCTTTTCTCACCCAATTTATTCCGTTCACTTTATCATCACATAATTGCCTTTGCATAAAGTTTTCTGGAACTCACAGCACTTACTCTTCCATATATTTTTTTTTAAATACAGAATTAACTAATAAGTGCTCATGTTTTTCATTATTGCTAGCTCACAGCTTGCATATACTTATGCTACTGTAATTGAAGTGGAATAGCTTCCTATTGTTGGTCAATGTGTCATTTTGTAAAGAATAGATTGCTTCAATTTAGTGTCATTAGGAGTACAGTAGTTTAAAGTGTCCCGGTACTGCCAGCTTATTCTTTTCACAACAGCTTGATTTTTAATGACTGTCATGTGACTCTCATTGATTATATGTTTTAGATGAAATTCTTAGCGACCACTTACTGGTTTTCACTAGCTGTTTTTAGTAATACATGTTTTTGACTCACTTTTTTTTTCTTTTCTCCTAAACTTCCTTTCAGTTTCTCCACTCTTTTTCTTTTCTTTTCTAGGTCTTGTTTTGTATATTAGGTTGCTATTCCAATTGAATTGAATGCTGTGATCAGACAGTATAGAAACAGCTTATTTGTGTTAAAATGTAGTGATAACAGAAACATTAAATACCATCAGGCCACTAAATGGATAAAGCAAATGGGTGTCAGATTTAGAAAATCTCTGAGAATTTTTTTCCTTCTTGTTCCTTTCTGTGTCTTGTTCCCTCTTCCCTTCCTTTCTTACCGAGACTATGGAACATATTTTAACAGAAACAGGGGTTTTGGACAGAACAGGGGGTGAGGGAGGTGGGTGGGGAGAACGGTTGTCAGACTGATGGGATTAGTTGAACTTAATTGGGGAAGGGGCATGGGGTGGGATGTGTCTTTGGGTATGACTGTGCTTGGAAGGTGAAGCTAGACCAGTCAGTGCCATGCCTACGTGCTACTCTTTCCATGCTGGTTCTCCTGGGCCACCTCTTGCATTGGCTTTACAACAACACTATATGGGATTTTTTTAGTGTAATACAATTTATTTTCATTATTTTTTTTATTCTTTCCCTTCCTGTCCGCCCCTCCTAGATACGAACTTTGAAGAACCAACAGTAACCCTTGAATGGGGCTAATGTTGCTTTCAAAGTTAACTCCATATTGGTACATTTGTATTGCCTGAGTGGCAAGAGTGGACTCTTTGCTCCTGGTTTACCTCCTGAAACATGGGTGTAGACTGAGCTTGGTGTCCTACCCTACAAATGTGGAATAAGACACGACTTAGAAGTGCCGTAACATTGATCTAGAATATATTTTTGTCGGTTTCTTTAGCAGTCATCCCTTCCCTTTCCCTGTGTCCACCGACCTGCTTCTCTTTTTGGAGCCTCCTAGTATGGGTAGCCGGCAGGTGGTGCTGATGGATGCCTGGTGATCCCTCTGCCGTCCTGGACCCCCGATGCCCGCTCCCCCGCTGCCTGGCCCTGCTAGAGCCCACCGGCAGCAGGGTTGGGCACTGGCCTCCTGGGTCTTCCTGGCTTGGCACTT